ACAGTTTGGTTAGGTTTAGGAACCAAAACTACTTGATAATGTTTTGAAAGAGATCATGATTTGGGTGAAAATAAATACTTTATGTTAGTAAGTCATGTGAGCGGTCTCGTGACATAACTGTAGTTACGTACGAAAGTTAAAATAAGTCCGCACTGACTTCTAGTTTCATACGAGACACAGACAGCAGCCTGTCCTGTGTCTGCCCTATCCATCAACCCTCCTCCCTTTGTAGACTGTTCATAGCTCTTCATCTATATACCACTCCCTCCTGTGCACCTGTCATAATTAATAAGACCACTAGAGGTCCCCGCCTAACAATAAAGTTCGTAATGTCTATGAAGATTCTCAGTCATCCAGGTCATAGTTATCCAACGAAGGTTAAAGTCAAGGGCAACTGGACTTGGTTGAAGATACTGGAAGACGTTTCGTCCCTCATCCAAAGGACTTCTTCAGTTCTGACTGACTGGCAGGGAAACTCAGCTATTTAACCTCATTGGGGTCGTTGGCCTGCAGTCTACTTACATCTGAAGGACAGAGGACACTCGTTTGAGGACCACCAGGTGCACATTTTAGACAGAGAAGATGGATGGTTTGAAAGAGGTGTCAAGGAAGCATCTACACCAGGGTCGTGAAGCCGTCATTGAACAGAGGAGGGGGTCTACGCCACCACTTATCCCCCACTTACAATGCTGTCCTTTCATCACTTCCCAGGAAACTCAACAAACGTAACCTATTGGCCTCAGGTGAAGATGCCAACGATGGTCGTTCAGTCTTGGCCACGGGTAGTCTTAACGACTGTAACGACTGTCGTCACAGCAACAAGCAACACTAACGAACCAGCGGTATCGATGACCCGGGATAACGACCCCACTGAGGTTAAATAGCTGAGCTTCCCTGCCAGTCAGTCAGAACTGAAGAAGTCCTTTGGATGAGGGACGAAACGTCTTCCAGTATCTTCAACCAAGTCCAGTTGCCCTTGATTTTAACCTTCGTTGGATTGTTCGTAATGATCGTATGAAGCTGCTTGCTTAGATATCTATTTGGGCGTATTTTGGGGGCGGATGGTCTGCTAATTTTGGACAAAACATTAGCATATCAACCTCTTAGTCTTTTCATAGTTCCAATCATTCAACTGTCCAAACACATGTATCACCATTGCATAGTCAGACACATATATCACCAGCTATCAAATAGCTGCCTATTTTTTCCTCACGGCTGCCTGCCACCTGCTACAGATAATGAAGCGAGGCCCTACAGCGTGTTGGACTCCCTCCACCTCCCATCCCTGACAACATGGTATTGTACGAGCAGTTGCTCTTGTGCCAACGGGGGGGGGGGATAATACCCATTTGGAGAGCATAGCGGGGGCGTTGCTTCAGATACAGCTAATCCTCACACCTCATCGCTGAGATGTGGCTGGCTGCTGCATAGCTCGCCTCCGCCACTCCCTCTCTCTTTTTTTCTTTAGTCTCCTTATTTGCTCTTCTTTCTTGACATTCAGGACATCTACTGTTGTTTTTGTTCTCATCTCTGAGTCCTCTTCTCTTTCGCATTTTCTTCTCCTGCACTTATCCCCTCTCTTCTGGGGCATGAGCACAAAAGCCGAAAAGCCGGGGCATTTAGGGAGAGGAAGATAATAGAGGATTGAAAAGATGAGATAAGGAAGGTTGATTAAAAAGAGTAGAGGGGAACACAGCTCAGCATGAAATAATAAGATGTCCCGACAAAAATAAAATTATCTATCATTATTACTATCATTGTAAATTGAGGTTTTGTACCGCTGGACTGAAGAAGATATTTAAACACTTCACCTCTGGTTGTGGAAGTTTTTCACCATTTGTGGACATTTTATAGAATACACACTGAAATTTAATCAGCAGATTGATTGGTTATGAACATGTATGTGAAGTCAATACACACAGTTGCTACCAGACACAAACAGGATGATAGCTCTCTGCTGTCCCTCCTTTCATTTTAGAAAGCCTATATAAGGTGAAATATTGGGGCCCAATTGTCCATTATAAATGATTAAAGTAAGTTGTTTTTGAGTGTCTAGGACTCAAAAATACTTTTTACCCCTTTACAAGATTATTACAAAACAAGGCTGTAGATGAATATATATATATTTCTGAGAGTGATTTTTCAAAACTCAGAATTTGAATCTAATAAAAAAAATTGGTACATTACAAACACAAAATCTCAAAGAGTATGAGCAAGTTATTTTCATTCCATTTCATGTGAGGGGAGGCAGCAGGAGGTCGATCGGCTCAGTCATATAAGGACTCTGGTGCATATGCTTTACAGGCCCAAAAACATGGACCCCCCCCCAAACACACATATGGCCCTGGTGAATATCTTCTCTAGATTGAATGGGCGCTATCTTGGAACACAATATGCAGTGTTGGGCACTATATTAACTTTTCTTAGTTGATGAGTTATGAACGGATTAGGGGAATTCAGTATACACTATAAGAGCAACACTAAGAGTAACAGTTACTTGTAGAGGCAGCTAGCTTCTACTAAAAGGAGGAATACGTATGCCTTCTAGAAACTCCCAAGTTGCTTTATTTACATTGCATCGCCGTAACTAGGTGTTTATAAAGTCACTGCAGTCAATGGGGCTGAACTGGTTAGTAAATACCTCCAGCCATGTCACATTTTCTATTTCTAGAATACAATAACTGTGACGTGTAGATATGGAGGTTTTGGAGTTGCTGGAGGGCACTGAGTACTCAAACAAATACTGAGCAAGTATTAATCTTACATTATTTTTTTAATTGAGTAATAAGTAATTCAATGAATGCTTCAAGAACCTTACCCACAATGTTCCCAGGGCATTATGTGACCTGCAACTGTAACTCTAGACAGTACAGCAAAGTGACTGCATAGCCCATTGCTGGTCCTCAGGGACTGGATTCTATTAGGTTGATGTTTTAATGGTAAGTACAGTACCCTGTCACTTCATGTTGGCAAAAACTCCTCTTGACTAACAGATACACTCAAACCAACTTTTTCTTCTTAACAGGGACAAGAAAATCACAGAGCTCACTAACGTGACAGTGTCTTTGCACATGGAAGCTCTTCACAGCAGAACCATAAATCAACAGGTGACTCTGGTGGGAATGAGCAGCTTTACAATGTATACATCTGAGCTACAGAGGAGCATGAAAGTACAGATGTTAATTTAAATTTAGTAGTCACGTGGAACCTTGTAAGGTAACTTCTTATTCTTGTAATTCAATCCAGTGACGTGTTCTAGAACAAGAGTAATTGGCAAAGGTTGTGGATGAGTGAAGATGATAAAGTGTTAATTGCGCGGTGGCTCTGCTCAGAATAGAAACTCTGCCTGCACAATGTCTCCACAGTGAGAGAAAGTGATGAAATTACTTGTAAGGCCGACTCAAAAGTACAGGGCTAAAATGTGAATGGAAAGAATAGAAATGTCATTACAATAAAAGGTACTCACATGTCGAAAATGAGAGACAAACTGAGTGGATAGGGTGAGAGAGGGAGAAAGAAAAAGCCTTTGGCTCCTCTCAACATTTTATCATGTACACAAATGGTCTCCAACAAATACCAAATGTCGAGGCCCTTAAAGTAGACAGAAGCCAGAGGCAGCATTAGTGTCTTGTATGTCAGCTTCCTGACGTCGCCCTCAGTCTGCCCTTTGCTTCAGCTAAACCTTTGGCTGACACTGCCCACCAGGACCCTCAGACAGAGGCAATGAAAGGCCTGTAACAGATCTGCCTGCAGAGACATGTAATCAGACAGTAATGGTCAGATCCGCCTACAAATGGATTTTGT